AGCCGCAGCGGTGCGGGCCTCGTCCCACGCCATTTGGATGTCTTGTTGGAGAAGCAGCTCCCGAGCTTTCGCAGGCGTCGGATTTTCCACACCAAAGAGGATGCAGTTATCAGCCAACGGTTCGTGTCTATGATGACTCTTCTCCCCTTTTATGCATCTAAGGCACAGCTTATGCGGCTTGGGGTGATCCCCCGGCTCAACTTTACGAGGCTGGGGTGCAGGCAAGGGACGGTCCTCTTGGTAGGCCGAGTCACGGATGGCAGCATCGATCTTCTTCTGGCGTAGGAACTCTTGAATTCCTTTCACATCTTCGCGAAGACAGCCGTGCAGGATGCATTCTGGATCAGCACGGGTGTGGCCTCCATGGTATGAGCTCCCCTTTTTGCATCTGAGGCACTTGGGGTCGTTCCCCGGCGTAGTCATGGCTGTAGGCTTTCCAGAGGTGTGGAGGGAATCTTTGACGGGGCTCCCCGCTGTAGAGCTCGTCGTCGAAGGCTGTTCCCCAGTAGTGTGAGGAGACTCTGGCTGGTTTGGGGTTCCCCCCGTGTCACCAAGTTGACCAGCGTAGGCACGGATATTATTCGCGATCACGCTGCCCAAGTCACGAACTTGAAGGTGAGATACTCCCCCGTCCAGTCTCGAGCTTACGGAGAAGGTTCCCCGGCAGCAGTGCTTTGAGTAGGCTCGCCGATCACGTACCGGTATCTGGGCACAAACACCCGAAAGAGCAGGACTCAGCAGCGGTCACCCTCGTGCTGCGTTGCACACCGAGCTTCGCAGCAGGAGCGTCGTGCACGAGGAGCGCAAAATATTTGTTCTCGGTGCCCAGCAATCGCTTCAGAAGAGAGAAGAGACCTAAAGACGGGTCAGGCCCCCGGGTTGAGGACGGAGCGGACCTCAGTAAGAAAAGAGAGGGAGAGAGGGGCAGAGAGGCCGCTCCTCCTTGAACCACTCGCGGCTTGAGCCAAAATGGCTACCTCTCTCTCTCTCTCTCTCTCTTCTCTGCACGCTACCACTCGCTTCGTATGGCGAGCACGTCACGCCGTGCGAAAAGGGCAACTGCAGAGTGGAAGACATCGCATGAGACTGTCACAGACTTGGCACCCTCACAAGCCCCGGGCCCTGCACCATGCACCTTTCCTGCTTGGCCTCGTTGTTTCTGTCCGTCGAGCTTCGCCGGTGTTGCACTGGGACCGTTTCGAAGCCTTACTTGTCTCGACTGCAGTTCCCGACAGGTCAGGTACCGACAGGTGAGGCTGCCACTCCGCACTATCGGAACGGTTCCTGCAAAGCGTCTCTAGCCCGTCGCGGACAGGCTGCCACAGTTCTCCGTCCACTTGTTGTTGCATGAATTATCATGAATTACGCTTGAGATCCCAAGTCCTGCATTGGCCCAAGCCTCGCAACAGCTCGAAACTGTCACGCTCAAGAGCCGCTGAGAGAGGCAGCTCCCTCGGATCCCAGCTTTACCAGGCTGCTTGGAGCCACTGCGCGACTGGCCAAGCATGAGCCTCGGGCGGCGGCATCAGTCGAGCTCGTCTTTTCACATCAAACTCGTGATTTCCCTTCAATTCCTTTCGAAACCCGCCCAACCGTTTCGAATGAACTGTCTCCCTGTGTTTTCACAAACAAAAAAGGTGCCAACAGACAGCTCATTCGTGGTCTAAGTGTCGCAGCTCTTGAGTAAGCCTCTGTTACAGTTGAAGTTGCTGTCGCGAGACGAGCTCTCGAGGGCATGCTCACAACATGAGGCTGGCGCGGAGACAACGTCCAGGTGCCAAGGGCCTCCGAGGTTTGAAGGATCGCGAAAAGTCCAAGAGCAAGCCTGATCGACTTTTCGAATCATGTCACAAACCATGTCTGTCTCCGGCATTAAATTGACCGCCATGGGCAGACATGTTGTCTGTCTGGGGAACTGCCGTGCGGCACAAGGATCGTATGAGCAATCAAAAAATCTCTTGAGCAAAAAGAATCAGAGTCATACCGGAGGCAACGATTACTCTCATGCACTGATACAAGGCACGTCCCCAGGGGATGGTGTGCAACGAAGGAAATGATGTGTCCAAGACTGCGGAAGGAGTAGGGCCCGACACCCTGCGGCATGAGTACGCATATGCGAGATGTGGTCAAGCGGGGGAAATCGCCCATCCCTCCAATGGCATGGCCCCGTTGCAAGCTCGAACTGGAGCCTTGGAGAAGTTCATCGAGCCGGTGCTCCGGGATCCTGGGAGCTTCAGACTGTTGGAATCTTGCAGTGACTGGCTCAGCCCAAGCCCAAGCGGCCTGTCAGCACATCTTGGTCTTGAAGCTTCCTCGTCCTTTTGCCCGGCCGTGTGCTAGCCTCGCAGCCCCGTTTCTGAGGATTGAGGGGACCAATTCCAATGGCCTTGGCTGGTGTGCTGGGAGCTTCGTTTTTGATGCAGAGTTAAAGCTTGTTCGACGACCTTCCCTTCTCTATGCCCTTCCGTGCTGGCCTCAGAAGAGCAGGGGCGCAAAGATTGCAGCACCGGGGCATCTGAGCCAGGCGGTTTGCGGAGGTGTCATTCGCAGAGACGCATGTTTCTCACTTGGGTGCCAACTCCTTCGACGAAAGCAGTCCTCCCAAGGCTAACGCACTGGCACCGTCCTGTCTGCATCAATCTTTCCGAAACTCACTGTCATTCCTGCGGAGTTGTGGCTGGGAACTCATGGGATTTCTTCTGCACCTCGACTAACCTTGGCTGGCCATCCGCTATTGCAACATGGCAAGCTGCATGCGAACCAGTGAAAGGGCCGGGCCGGCATTGATAGTAGACTTGGTACGTGTCCTTCTGCACAGATGTCAGCGTACAAGGACACGACAGGGGCATTGGAAATCCCCCCCATCATGCTAGGGATGGCGCCAGAATTTCAGCTTTCACCATGAGGATCGAGACATTGCGGCCACTGTTCCATGCGGAACAAGTCGCATAGAACAGCTCACTCACGTTCCGATCGTCGAGTACGCTTCCCGGCTGCAACCAAACTATGTAATTGCTACCGATGTCGAAAAGGCTGGAGGGGCTGGGTCTTTCCGGTCTTTCACTGGCATACGCGAAGTACTACTTCTATTGGCAACTGTTGGCAGCTGAGCGTGCATTGCCTGATTCAACAACCGAAGATGTCGCAATCACAAGACTGTTGCAAGTGCCCGCACCAACGAATCGCGCTGTTTTGGTAAGTTGAGTTTGGTGTGGCACCTCAGGTTCAAGTGAGACAACAAAAGATGCCCTGAAGCCATCAGCCAGCAGCTCCGCTGAGAGACTCCACTTGAATCCCTCTTGGCCACCGAGTGCTGTCTTACAAGCACTGTGCAGAGAACAACCTGGCAGTACATGGCGCAGCACAGAATGTAAAGTCCATATCATCTTGCAATACCCTGGGAATGAGAGCACAAGACTACCACGAGGTGCCCCCTCAACTCTTTTCGTTAGACCGGGGCTTTGCCCACAATACAAGGAGAAGCCTTGAAATCGGAGGCTTCTCTACGAGGCTGTCACTGTGCACCTGAAGAGTCGATGGATGACATTTTTCAGAATTCCCTTTCATCTCCTGACGGCTAGCGCGAAGGCCCGTGAGCCCTGTGGAGCATCAAAGGGTGCACAGCAACATAGGTAGCAAAATACAGGCCCGCATGCGGCTTCGTATTGCGAGCTTGCGTGGTGGGAATTGCAAGCCCATGTTAGGACTACGAAGATGCCAAGTCTGGTATATCGAAGACAACGCGTCGCACAAGTAACTGCAGTGCACTGCAGTTTCAGCCGGACTCTTGCTGAGCTGGAGGAGATTTCACACACAGCTGCGCAGGCTGCGGCTTGCATGCCACACGCTTTGCGCGGTGGTACAGCAATGACGGTGTGAGGTTCGAGTTGTCGAACACTGACTGCGGTTCAGAACTTCAGGTACAGATCCGAGAAGGCGAAATGTGTTGACAACAGAGCCCCCGGTGAGATGAATGTAATTTACTGAACTGAGCAAAGCACAACTTTGCATGTCGGTATGCCTCAAAGCTATGCTGTGCTTTGCAAATTCTCAGAGACGACCACCTGGAGTGTTCCGTCGACGCCATCGCTTGGGATGGGCTTTCGGAATTCAGAGATTACTGTGGCATTGACACACTCCTCGGTAAGTCATGGGTGTGAAGCTCACTTAAAATTCAGGTCTGTGAAGGTTGGATTTCTGTAGATCGAATTTCCATCGCGAAGTCGTGCACGATGCCTTGACAGATTCCCAGGAAACAATTACCACATTGGCACACGCACACGCACACTACATGGGAGATTGAGGTCAGCACCGGCAGTCGGACAGAAAACAGCTGCCTGCCATGACTGCAACTCCCATGTGAGCGAGCGCTCTGCTCGCCGGCACAGACCGAGCTAAATGCCTTTTGGGGCCTTCTTGGCGTGCAGCAGGCTTCGTCTGCAAGTTACTATCACACGCACTTCGGTGTTCTCGTTAGCATCTGCAGCCATCAAGCTGTGAGGGTGAGGGTCAAGAGGCTTGCGCAGTCACATTGCAAGCACGGCAAGATGGCTGCACATCCACCTTGCTGTCCGCGGTAAATAACTCTTGCCAAGCAAGCTCAAAATCACGGCCAGGAGAGGCGTGAAGTTCTACTTCTAGAATGCACGGAGGGCTGGGACTTTCAGTTCAGCGCGCCGATGACAAAGATGCTGCGCCAAACTTCAGTCTTCCGGATCCAAATACCGATTCTCGAGGTACCACACGTATTCCTTGTGATGTTCTGCACGCAAGCCAGCAGCTTTATGGCTTTTTGGCGCTTGGTGGCGCTTACAGGCATACCCCAGACACTACGACTCGCTACGGCTCACTCACCGGAATCCAAGCTGAAATCAAACCTGCAGGCTTACATGAGCTTTCATAGGCAAGTAATGGCCGGTGACAGATTGCACGGACTGAGTCCAAAGCTTCTTCTTTCTTCTCAACTCTTCTTCCTCAGGGTCGTCCTGCAGGCATTAAGCCCCAACTTGAGAAAGTGAAGGAGTAAGCTCGGTGCGAAGCCTTGGTGCAACAGAAGAGCATCACTATGACAATGAGCGGCGACAATGCCAGGACTATCTTGACCTCGGACTACAGGGAGCGAGTCGCTGAGTCACACTAGAGGAGTTTAGAAGTAGACAAGTAGACAGGTTTGAGCAGGCGGATTCTTCAGGATTCTTCGGCTCTCCGAGGGCTGCGCGCTTCGCCAGGCCAGCTCCATGCCTGCCGCTCCGGGATCCGACCAGTCCACGTCGAAGAAGCTCTTCCTCGGTTCTGGCAGAGAGGGCGTAAACCAAAAAAGTCTCAGGTGGTGCCTGCAAAGGGCACAAGGCGCCCGAGATCCGAACCCTTCTGTGGGACCAGCTTCTACAAGCAGCGGCAAGATGGACAGAAGCGCCTGGCCGCCATCATGCCGCGGACGTGTGCCACAGAACTCGAAGGTCGGCCACTGAGCCACAAGCATAGAGCCGGAGGGCTCGTTCTGTGAAGGTCATCCTGCTGGGATCTGCCAATGTCGATTGTTGCCCTGGCCCTGAAGAGTCCCAGGCCTCTGGACCCTGTGCAGCTGGGCGGCTTGCACACAATTGAGATGCTTCGGGCCCAAGGCAGCACGGCACAGGTATTGCTTTGAATAACACACCAACTCCTTCCAGCATCTGCACAAAGACAGCCGGCAAGACCGCGCAGCGCAGCATGGGTTCAGCCTTGCTCAAGACGTCCACCTCCTTGCGACATGTACAAAAACCAAACACCGCAGCAACACAAACTAGGCCCCGGAGTTGCTCTCAGCGGAGGCTTCACCTTCCTCTTTGCCCATTTTTGTGGTGGCACAGCGTGAACTGCCGCAGTGCAAGCCATCAATATTACAAGGGTCCTCGAAGAGGGCTTGAGGACTGTCCTCTTGCCCAAACACAGCTAGAAGCATCGCCTGCAGGCGATAACGTGGCACGCTACAAACCCAAGTAGCTGCTTTGATGCTCACAGACGCATACGCACACATTAGCGTTAGCGGCCTGTCGCTGTAGCCGCTCCTCGGACCACCTATATACGAGTAGCAAACTCAGCTTGTGAACATCACGCCAGCTTGTCAAAACTCGGTGCAACGCCACCTCCAGGCTCCTGTCGGTCCGTCCTTCCACAGATGAGTTGCCAATCTTGGACGAGTTCCACGTCGTCCAGACTTGCGACTAATACCAAGTGAAAGCCAAGTTCCACCTCGGGGCCATAGTATTGGTACTGGCAAGTCACCTTTAAGAATGGCATCTCGCCTGCGCAGAACGGCGCAGCGCTGCGTAGCATGCGTAAGTCATGAAGGCAAGCTTACACGAAGCCTTGCTCGGACGGGTCCGCCCTTGCGCATTGCGTCCAGGGCGGCTTCAGCTGGGGAAGTTTTGCCGGAAGCAGGCCACACAGCAGGCGGAAAGCCTGCCAAGCTGCGCAGATCACAAACTGCATGAGCCTCAGAAGCAGTTCACACCTCGTGGGTATCAGCCAGCTGGTTCCGTTTTAATGCATGCAACTCTCCGGGATACCCTGTGGCAAAATCATGGCTGCCCTTGCTGCTCTCTGCCGCACACTGTTCTGGCATGTGCAGTCCAAGTTGTATGTCGTGCAAGATGGGTCGGGGTATGTTCATGCACTCACTCAACATGTTTGGGCTGTGGCGATGGCCCAGTTTTGCAATTTCAGACTCCGGGGTCACCAGATCACGCCAGGTGTCTGGAATTTCTAAGAGTGTTATACGCATTCAGAGGCCTCGTGCTTGGGCCTCCCTACTGCAAAATGCACGGTGACGATGCTTGACCAACAGAGCGATCGACTTTCCTGAAGTCAGAGCTGCGCTCCTTCCTAGATGCGTCCGTCTCAAACCGATGCTAGCTGCCCCTGGGCCCAACTTTGTACTGCCAGCTCAAGGGCATGGTGAGATGTTACGGTGAGCTATGTTAGTCCTCTTGGTCACACGGCGGTCAAGACGTGGGAGTCCTGCCTCCCCGAAATCGTCCTGGCCCGGGAGACCAGCAACGAAGCCCCTGAATTGTCAAGCAGTAAAACAGCTTGCTGCTTCTGCACACTTTAGCAGTTATGCTGCGAGAAATGGCTGGAGGCCTGTCGCCAGATTTGCGGGCTGCCGCTCAAACTGGACCTCCCAGAAATTGGCGGACTCAAGACGGACGGCCAACACAGCATTGCCACTTCATGGGAGCCCTGCTACTCCATGCTTTTCTTCGCTCTCTTCCGAGGCCGAGGTCTGTTGTAGTGAAATGCACCTCTGACATCGCCGCATCTCAGTCCAGCACAGGAGCCTGCACAAAGACCATCTGGCAAAACCTTGGGCCTTGCAATGCCTGTCATGGTACTGACGTTCGAAAGCCTTGCCTCCAGTTTCTCCGTGCTGTATCCTTGGACCACCTGAAGCTGTGGGGAACCTCAGGAAACAGCTGCAGGCCTCCTAATTCTACATATGTAGCCTACCGCTGCAAGCAACACCTCCAAGGATCTCTCAAGCTCTGCCCCTTGGCTTAGCCTGCCACTGGCAGCCGGTCGACCAGCCAGCCGCGGGTCTAAGGAGCCGCCGACCAGTGTTCGAAGCGAAAGATTCACATGTCCTGCTGGCTCCGAGTCGCTCTACGAGAGAGGCTTTTGGCGGAACGATGCCAGAGCCCCTGGGTTCTTTTGGATTTACACACACACACACAAAAAAAAAATCACACACACTGAACCTGCCTGTCATCTCCAGCCAGCGCCAAGCGTAGCGTCGACCCAACTCATTCGCCGAGCTGGAACAGAAATGGAGGCGGTCGCCCTCGAGAAGGCTGTGCTTCAGGTTTGAAAATCGTGGATGGGAGCAGAGCAGGCGGTCGATCGTCAATCATTCCATTTGAAGCTTCTGAAGCATATGACTCAAAGCAGCGGCAAATCGCCGCTCAAAGGCCAGAATCCCCCTGCTAGGTCGTGTGAAGTTGCAAATGAGAACTCCAACTCCAGCAAGATCTCAGAATCTTTGATTCAATTACTCCGTAGCTTCGTCTCATCTGAAAGACCCCGAGTCGGCCTTGTGCCGAAGGCCTGCGCTGGAAACCAGAGATGTGTTTGGCTCTCCGTCTCCGATCTCGATGATCGCCTTGTTCACGATTTCCTCGGCGAGCTAAAGGACTCTGAAGGACTCACTATTTAATTATTTACTGTTTCAAGGTCTGGTCGCTTCTTGATGCCCTTTCATTATGCGAACAAGACTCCACAAAGGCAAAGGAGTCCCCTGCCAGAAATTCCATACCCAACTCCCCGAGGATGATGGGAACATCCTACAGCTCTCGGTTCCGAGCTCGGATTTGCTTGGCTTGCAGATTTCTGCTGGGGGGCGGCGCAGCCACATGCCAGGCGCAGCTGCCGCAGAGCCTCCCTCAAGCGCTTCGGATACTCAGAAGCATCCTCCTGACCTCAGAAAGTGCAAACTCGGGTCAAAAGCAACAAACCACTGAAGCCAGCACAAACTCCCCCAAAACTCTCAAAAGAACTGCCCTCTTCTTGGAGCCCCGGCTGGAGGAGTCGGACTCGCCCTGGTGCCAGAGGATGCCTCGCAGGACGCCTCCAAGAGCCCGACCCCGCTCCACTTTGGCCACGGCGGCCTTGAACAAGTCTCCATCCGCCTCCAGGCTTTGGCTTTGGGATTTGTGCCTTTTCTTACCACGTTTCATGTTGAGTGTTGTGCTGTTCATCCTGTCGGCATCGATCTTCTGTCTTGATTGCCCAGGTGCTTCTTCGGGCCGGTCTTGATAGTCCAACAGTTTTGGGTGATCGCAGCAGTTTGGGTTTTCCGTCCATATGAAAGGTTACCGCTTCGTAAGCCCAGAGCCAGCGGAGCCTAGCGGCTTGCGAAATTACAACAAGACTGCCTTGCAAGAATCTGGCAAGTTGCAAGCCAGCGCCGGATTTCGCTGCCACCGAATGCACACGGAAGCAGTCCCACGGGTGCAGGCAGGAAATCCTCAGATCAAATTGCGCATCAAGTCATCCTTTCTCGAAAAACAACGACAACTCGGCCGAAACATGTTGGTTCTGTATCTTCAGTCCTGCATGGCAACCGGACGGGATCCACACTGTCGGCTTTGACATGGGGGGAATGGGGTCGCGACTTCGCAACACGACAAGTGAGGAGTAGAATGTGGCTTATTGCTCAAGCCTCCCGGTCTGGGATGTTGGGCACAACTTCAGCGTCTGAGCATCTTCCGATGTCTTCCGACATTGCGTGCATGCAAGCGCCCGCACAAAAGTCTGAGTCCTGGGCCACAACTCCCCTTGCGAAGGCCAGTCCAGGTCCAACCCCAGCCTTCTCCGGCTTGTCATAATGCAACGGGTGCTGAGCTGTCTTCCACGTGCCATCGGAACCCAAAACCAGCAATCTCTCGTCTTTCTCCTCTGGGAAATCTGGCAGTTCCCCGCGCCCCGACATGTTGCTCTGCCCGGCGAGCAGGAACATGTGCACAGGGCGTCCGCATGGAGCTGCCATCAGTCCTGACACCGGTCACCTATCTCTCGATAAAGCTGGGCATGCTTGAGCGAAATCTTGGGCAGATGTCCATGCCCTGCGACAAGCAGCGGAACTTGTCCGTGCCTTGGCACAGCTGAAGTGATGCTGCGTTCTTTTTCGTCTCGCGTTTGCGAAAACGTGCGTGCCACACTTTGGACGCTCGCTCATCTGAAGTCGTTTGCATCAGACGTCCAGTCACGTAACCTGCACGGGTCTGACTCGCACGTTTCGAGTCAGCCGGACAAGGATGCGGTAAGCTCGAGCCTGCTGGCGTGCTTCGTCAAGAATCACCTCCTCTTCATCTTCCGCGAGTGCTGGACTGATGTTGGCCTAGGACACCAAAACTGAAGCCTGCTCCGCCCTGCGGCTTCCTGCGGCTCCCCGCACTGCCTCGTCCAGAGCATCGAGCACTGTGCAATTGATGCTCTCGCAGTTGTCCACCTGGGCACCTCGCAAGCCAAGCTGTCAGATCGATGCACGTCACAGAGTGCAAAGTGCTCGCAAAAGGTCGCACAGGGCCACTACCGACGAAGAAGCACAGCGTTGCATACTGGTACAGATACCTGGCACCACATTCGAAGCCAGAGAGCGCCCCCTTGCCTCCTTGTTGCATCATGTATATCTGAGTAGCTACGCTAATGGTGACAGCCGTCGGCAAGCGCACGATTCCGGCTTGCACCGCCTTGGATACTGCACGCCTGACCGGACATGAAATGATGTCTTATGTCTTTGAACTTTGCCGGCGTCAACGAAACAGATCGAAACCATGCTTTGATCTTCTTGAGCTTGCAGGAGCACACGCACCCCAGCTCCGGAAGCTGACGTCGCCATGGAAATACCGAAATGCCACTACAGCCACCGGGCCTGCCAACTTGAGAAGCTCGTCTTTGTCCAGGTACTGGCCACAGCCCCAAGGGTCTAAGTCTCTCTTTGCACCGCTTGCTTCTCACTCTCTCAGTTGCCTGGGTGAAGCCTGTTCTCATGCAGAGAATCGAGAGCTTCAACGCCTCGCCGCTGGGCGACATCATCCTCGCGGATTCTGCCCCAGATCCCGTGCACTGGCAAGACGGCAGGGTGTTTTCAGGCGTGGACGTGGAGAGGTTGTAGGCCGTTCGTTGGTCCAAACCTTGGGATCCCACGAAGTACCTGCACCAAGGTTAAACAAAAACAACAAAAACGCAGCTTCTTCCACTGATGTCAGAGCATGTCGAAGCTCACCTCGAAGCTTGGGAGCCACGGTCTATGTTCGCCACGCCGGCCTTGCGTCGCTCCCACCATGTGCATGGCGTATGGGCTTCCCATAAGGGGGTGGGAAACAGCACCGGGCTAAGCGCCGCGCCTGCGACATTTGGGTGGTCACTGCCTGCGCAACAAAAACTCACAAAGTGAGGAGTCCATACCCTAAACCCTCAACCGTAGACCCCAATACTAGGATCTTTGTGGACGGCGCCGCCTGCATGAGTCTCTTTGTCCCGCCAGCAGACAGCCTCTTGTTTTCTGGGTTGGGAGATACCGCGGCGAAGGGAAGACGGATCATGGGAGCAGACCCTCTGCGGCTGCAGAAGCCCAGAAGAAAGGTCTCCAACGCCTGGATCAGCCTGGCAGTTTCAAGCACATGCGAGGCAGCACTGACGCATCCTACTCCAACCACTATGTCGAGTCTGCACCTGACCACCGAAGCAGCTCAAGCACGGCGGGAGGGCTCCGTTTGGAACTGAACTATGCGGTTTTTCCTGGAGAGGCGCATGCTGGACCGCAACTGAGAAAAGGCGGAAGCAAGATCTTGCCGGATGCCTCTCTTCCAGGCCAGCATCGATGTGAGGCAAATCCTTCGCAGACACAAATCTCACCGGAAATCGTCCAGGCCACACCTGTCCTGCAAGCTGAAGGAGTTGCCGTCAATGGAGAACTCGCAACGATGTGCATCCTGAGCTGATTGTGGATAGTATATCTAACATACATAGCATAAAGTGTTTGTCGTAGTATGTATATATATATATATGTATGTATACATATATATATATAACATTTTTGAGTAAACTTATGTACATAGTACATGCGCTGGCGCATATAAACATCAGCCACCCCCTTGGTCGTGGCGGAGTCCTCGACCAGCTGTGAGCTGACACTGTCCGTGAGGATCCCTTCAAAGGTGTCCTTCCACAACTTGGAAACACGGCTTGAAACGAAGCCGCTCAGAAGATCCCAAGTGGACGATGCAGTGGCGGGCCATTTGCCAGAACGACGAAGTACGAGCGACAAAACATCGGCTACTAATTCAAAGCGAGATTAGCTGCCAGCTATCCATGATATCGAAGCTACTCTGTTTCGACAACACCTGCACAGTCACTTCTCTTCTTGCTCTCCATGCCCAGCCCAGCCTGGTGTTTTCGGAGCGCTTCGGGCCGGTTCGCATCGCTGCAGTCCTCTCAACAGAACCGATGTATGCTGTTCTACCTATTTACATGCGCATGTGCGTGTGCGTGTGTGTGTGTGTGTCTGATAGACAGATTTGCGTGATTGGTTCATTCATTCCATTTGGTTTGATTTGACTTGCTTTGACTTGACCTCGCTTAGTCTTCATGTGTCTTAAACCGAACCAGCTTGAATCGAGCTGACTGATTGACTGACTGACTGACTGACTGACTTTTTGCTTGCTTGCTTGATTGATTGATTGAGGCTGGCTGGCTGGCTGGTTGACCAATGGATGGATTGAGGGAGGGAGAAAGGGAGGAATGCATTGGTGGATGGGTGGATGGATAGATGGATGGATGCATGGATAGGTAGATGGATAGGCTGATGGCTAGATGAGCCAGGCAAAGGTACAAGTAAAAAGGGACATATACGTAACAGGAGCACGCCCGATGAGAAGAAGAAGCTGGCAAGACGTCTTAGTCTTTCCCACGGAGCGTCCTCGCTAAGAAGGTGCTGTAGCATGATGAGGAACCGCAGCTGCTTGGAATTGAGCCTCAGCCGGACATCGCTGCTCAAGAGCCTGCACATCGCATGATGGCCACGCGGTGCCACACCAAGCACATCTCTGAGGATGCATCAGGCGGCTCCTCACTCTTGAACACTCTGGATTCTTGAGTCTTTGATCTACAGCACATTCGGTAGAGGATCTGTAGGCACTGCCACTGTCCTGCACTCGGCATTCCGCTGCACGAAGGCGAGGGACTCGGCTGCGAAGTGCTGCAAGCGGGCCTGGTCGGACCAACTGGATTCTGAACTTTATTCCGTGGAGATGCTCTGGCCGAGATGCCTTGTTGGTGTAAGTGGCCCAAACGTTGAATTTCTGCTGTGACGGGCTGGAGCCAGAGTCCTCGTATTGCCGTTGTTCCTCAGACTGCTCAAAACAGGGGTTCCTTGATTGCTTAGAGACGCTTTTGGGGTGCGAGCCGTCACACAGCGGCTTTCCAGGTCACGGTATATGTCACTTATCACCGTCTTGGCGACCATGATGTTCCTTTTCAGGGCCAAGGACCGATCACCCTGGTGGCAGCTTGGAGGACAGCCTCTGAAGGATGGACTTGCTGCTGCCAACCGCCTCAAGCCCAGGCCCAAGAGACTCGAAGCTCAGCACCGATCACATTGGGTTACACCGGGTACAGGGTGCCAGGGAAGCCTTGTCAGAGCTCGAGAAGGACAGCTCCGTCTCAATGTTCGGCTCGAACTCCGGCGCGCTGCACTGGCCACACCTGGGCACAGGCAAGAAGTTCCTCCATAAGCAAAGCACCACCATTCCGTTGGGGCGAGGACTTGACTGTGTTGGCACGTCGCACAACGACGGCGACAAATGTTCCATCGTCTGCTGCTCCTCCTATTTCTTTTGTCTGCATCAATTCTGCGCGCTTGTTCTCATGATTCAGCGGTAGCAAGCAAAGCCGGTGAGTCAACATTTCAGCATCCATGGCTCGCGTCTTTCACCATGCACGTGCTCCGTCAAAAGCCGAAGCTGTGGTAGAATGTATTTCGGAATTTCGATATCATTATGGCGTATATGGATTGTGTCATGTTTTTTGCAAGGTTGCCTTCGACCGTGCATTCCTGCGCTCCTCGTTGGTTGTGCATCTTGTATGCATATACAAATGGATGGATAGACGGCATGGGCTGGGCTGGGCTGGGCTGGGCTGGGCTGGGCTGGGCTGGGCTGGGCTGGGCTGGGCTGGGCTGGGCTTGGCTGGGGCTGGTGGGCTGGGCTGGGCTGGCTCCGGGCTGGGC